CTATTCCCCCTCTCTCTATTCCCCCTCTCTCTCTCCTTCTCTTTCTCGCCTGAGATAGAAAAAAAACGAGTACGAAATGTAGAGAAAAATATTAAGCGTAAGAATAAAAGAATTATAATGACAACTTAAGTAGTAGTATGTTGACAACAAGGTAATCTGAAACGACAGTAGTTCTTTCTACTAATTTTCTCAATTAATGCTGTCAAGAAAAACGTACAAATTTCGTTATTAGGTTTCTGTTGTTCTGTTTCAGATCAAAGTCATCTTTTTAATCAGATCGAACGATAGTCAGTGACTCCTCATTTTTATAATAATACATCTTCACGTTGTATTTCGGTGTCATTTCCTCTTGCTCTAATCATACGTCAAGAACAACACTAAGTAGAAGAGCCAAGGAATAGATGTGTCTTATCTCTAATTTGAGATCGTGGATTATTTTGATGAAATGCGAGTGCGTCGTCAGTTAATAAGACCTCATATTAAGATGACAGATATCCTGATGGAGATATTTCAATAGGAATTAAAAGCAACGTTTTCACATATGAAAAGTCGTTATAAAAGAGAACATTCTCTCTTCATCTAATCATGTTGATGCACATCAGGCAAACAAGGTCTTATCCTCGTTAAGATCGGAGGCAAATAAAGTTCGAGTTGATTTAGTCAAAATGTATATCTTTCTTTATTTCCTTTTCGGTTAGTGCACGAAAAAGGAAAAAGAAAGAGAAACTAGTGAAAACGTATACACAAAAAGCAAAATGAAAGTCAGAATAGAAATTTTTCTTCGATACATATACACAAATTGAAAAGATGTAGGACTATAAAAAAAAACACACGCACGCACACACACACACATACGAAGAACAAACAACATTTGTCTTGTCTTGTTCTTGGATAGAGAATCCTTTCCGAGTAAAAGGATAACAAACAAAGTAATGACTTTCTTGATCGTCGGAAAAGCGAGAAGATTTTCTTAATAATCTCGACTTTCATAGAATAGGATATAACTAGTTTCCGATTGACGGCCAAGATCATGTGAAACACCATAAAATTCTTCGAAATTGGACGGATCCAGTCGCTGACATGATAAAAAGCAAAAAGAAATATGACATGCGTATTCCCATGCAAAAAAGAGCCCTTACATCAACGGTTTCATCATCAAAAACAAGCCAAGAGCCATCTCGTTTTACAACGGCTATATAATGTCCTCGGTTAGGACCAATACCACAATGAACCACCAAAGAAACAAGATCATAAATACGATCATTATTAGTACAATCTTCTGACTGAAATATTCAATCAGAAATCATCTTTTTTGACAAAGCAAATAAACAAAAAAGTTCCTTACCGTATTTAATAACCGAAGTTCGAATGGAAAAACTACACGATAGGATAACTTTTTATATTGCTTAAATACTTCAAAGTATTTGAAACGTTTCAAGTGAAGTGCTAATACGCGCGGTAATTTCTTAATGCGCATTCTAAATATGTTCAGATCAAGAGATATTTATTTACACAGTTGTTTTTCTCAAATGTTTACCTTTTAGTTGCTTCCTGTTTACTTGAACACGTTTCACAGTAATATTTTGATTCGCCCGACAATGTTTCGATGTTACTGAATACTCGTAGACATGTTGTAATAGACGTGTTTTCTTCCACATCGATAGACAAATCAAGAAAGTTTTCATCTTTACTGCTGACCTAAAAATAAAATCGTACTATTCATCGTCGAATTAATCACAGTAGATAGTTTCATGTCGTGACGCAGTGGAAGAAAATTAAAAACTCCTCGTTTCTTTTAATAGTTAGTTGTTTTGCTCTATCAAGTGAATGATAATAAGCTTTGCTAACATTGAGATCTAATGCATTTTGTGCTATTTAAAGTCATGAAACAGGATTTTCGAATTGATAAACGATGACAATGAAAAGAATGCAGAGAGAAAAACAAGAGCATGTATGAATTAGTTCTGATCTTTTATGTGATATGTTAACGGTGTAGATCCAGCGTACCAGGAGCTTTACGCATGTAATGTATGAAATGCCAGATTTTTTTTATGTGCGTCAAATAACAAAATAAAAAGATCTTGCATTCGATGCATACACACAAGGAAGTACGTGTGACATAATATCTAGGAAGTAGAGCAAGAAGAGCGATTGGATCTCTTTTAGAAGTATCTTTTACCGAAAAGCGATTTAGTCAGAATACATTTTGATAATCTATCAAGCGCTTTTTCTGAACTTTTGACTTACAATAGAGGATTTCTGGTGTTCTGTAAGTCAATATCAATATATATATATAAAGAAGAAAATTTCTCTGTCTGTTTGTTCGTTATGCATTCAACCTCTGTAATAGCTGTCGCCACCAAACTTTCCACAATACTTTCTAAGATGTAGAAGAAGGTGGGCATCTACTTTGTTTTTGTAAAAATGAACTACATATTTACTACAGGCGATCTATAAAGCTGATCAATAGGATTGCAGGATTTCAAAATGTTAAAGGAATTGATAGCGAAGGTTGTCTGAACGCTCATAGACAACGACCCATACGTTCTCTCTATCGATGACAGTCCTCTGCTTGCTAAATGCTACCTACGAAACTGACCAATACAATTGTTGTATCTTAAAGCATTAAGATAAATGGTAGCGAAAACCGTCTAAGTCTAAGTGTTCATCTATATGCGCACGCATATAGAAAAGAACGTTGGTCTGTCGATCTATTCCCTATTCATAGAGTTTCTGCAATAGGTAACGTCACGAAATTTTTTATTAAAACTTCTTTGGTTCCTATAAATATTAATAGGAGATTGAGATTACCAAGGAGGATCTTAAGAATGCCGATGATAGCAAGAGAGTATGTGAAAAATACACGATGTCGGTCATAGTACTGGATGAGTATGAAGCATATGAGACATGAAACGACTGGAGAGTGAGAATGAGGTTGATATGTGCACGGCTAGAGCGGAGCATCAGCCTCAGTGAAAGAGACTATTTATTAATAAGCTCTGACGTAGAAATTGGCTTTGATGACTGTTTTGCATAAAGGAATATAACAGAAATTGTCGTTTTGTGCGATGTACGACAGGAAATATAAGGACCACAACCCAGGTGATTCAATCCGACTGACGGCATGATCACGATACTACGGAACTCTGGAGAATCCGACGCTTTCCAACATCTGGAGCCGCCTGTCGGAATCCTGTGGTTAGGTTTCCGAGAACTTTCGACGAATTCCCCATCGGATCCGATGGACTGAGTTTGACCTGCGAAGCGTAGAAATTTGAAACGTATTGATTTTTCTATCTACTGTAGTTTTTCAATACGGGAGACGTATGAGATGGACATTTCTTAACTGCCACCGGGTACCCCTGCTAGTAAACATTATATAAATAGCTCCGGAAATGAAATTTACTATTTATAGCATTTGAATAGTACTTGGAATAAATGTTTTTACTACTGAATATCCTTCTAATTAAAGCAATTTACATATCTATCCAGTCCCAGTCGAAGTTATTCATCCTGTTGAGAATCTCTCCCAAGAGTACTTTGCAAGTGTTGATTCCGGAGCGAGAAGAAATAGGAGTTATTATTTCAACAGTGTGCACGTTTGCGAGTCGACGAATAAGACTAATTAGATAGCACTCCAATGAACGACAATGCTCCTATAAACTTACTGTTTCACAATTCAAACATTTGGTTGTCGACACAAGAGTTCCTTGAAAAAGATCATGAATCCACGTATCTTCCATCACCGAATTAGAACTAGCTGTATCACCATTCGTGTGTATCGATGTTCGAATAAATGGTTCATCACCGTTCAAATGCGTATGATTGTTACTTGATGTGATTGAATTGGATTTGTGTTTTTGTTTATCATGCTTGTCTCGTTCTTCTTTCTTTTCCGCTAAAATGAAAAACGCCGGTTTCGATTTTCACAATAGAAAACAATCGCTAACCAATAAGAATATCTGCACATGTGTTCAGCAAATGATTGAGAAATTCATGTGCATCTTGTTGCATATCATTATCGAATGTACTGTTTTCTTTTCGTAATTTGTTGATAAATTTCTTTGGTTGTAATGCACCTGTTCGTCGTTTTCCAGACGAGATCATATGAAATAGGTCGGCTAGACATATCAAAAGGTTTTCTTTCTTGTTCTTTTGCGCCGAACGATACTGCAAAACGCGTTCTCGAAATGGTTTACAAAAATAGAGAGCTTGAAGCACCGAATTACAATAACAGGTATTACCGAACTAAATCAAAGGCTCAAATAAGATTATTTTTTGAGGAAATCGTTATGATGCTATTTACATTTACAAGACCAAGGTAGTGTTCGGTCGAATTGGACTCGACCACCGTTTGACCAGTGGTATCAGATGAAACTCCATGACCCTAAACATGAGTGAGTGAGTGAGTGATTGCAAAATCAGTATGTAAATTACCATTTTAAAGCAAAACATTTGTTTCATTTAATGAATATTTTTCTTGCGACATATGAAATCTGAAATGTGAGAACAAGCTATTTCGATTTCGACATTCTATATGTCATCAACATAGGCGATAAAGTTCAAATAGCCTGAAATTTCTAATCCTGTTCAAAAGTGAAACAATAGCTCATAGAGCTGTTTTCTATCACAAATTTCATGTTAAAAAATAATCCATTAGAGCTTAAAATATCATCGAATAATCTGAAAGAATGAAATCACGTGTGGAAGATACACTAATCTGGCCTAAATTTAGCATAGCAAAACGATTCTGCTTCCGTGTCGTTTAGTTTTAACACTGAACATCTAGGGTTGGATTCGTCTGAAGTCTTCACGATCTGCTCGATTTGACACGTGATTTGCGAGAATAGAGTCGACGATGCAGATTTAAATCTGAAAAATAATACCGAACATAGCAGATAAATAATAATTATTAAACAACAAAATGGTATATCAATATGACACTGAGAAAAGAGCATATTTACAAAGTTACGACGATATAAGAAAAGAAGAAGCAAATATTATATATGTTCGTTTTGTGACGAGTCATTGATGGAATTCTCATCGATGAATCGAATGTTACCTTAAAATGCAATACAATACAAGAGGAATGGTAGATAGTTTCTTCTACCTTTATGATGAGTGTTCTTCAGCGTTAGCAGGTCTGATTTGATTTTCAATTTCGATATTTCAATACGGTACTGGGCTCTGGAATAGAACAATAGAGATTAACACAAACAATTCTTTCAATTACCGATCTTGTGCATCGTTGATACCCATTTCCAAAAGTAGATTATCATTTAACATGAATAGAGTTCGTCCTGAAAAATGAATCAGTTAAATCAAACGACCGGCGAATACAATGGTCGATGATATTCTCAATCGAAGAGAGAAGTAAAATTTGCACATACCGCTGATTCCATGATTTTTGAAAAATCCGCCGTATTTGTTAAATAGTTCAGGTAAACTATTCTTCATCCATTGTAACACTTCTGAGTTTGTCCAAAAACAAGGCGCTACGCTTGCAGTTTTCGATGGTCGTGCCTATAGAAAATAAAATCATGAACATTTCCACTATTTTCTTAATTCACATACACTTGTCGATCCTTCCATGTGTTTGAGTCTCCAAATAATCTAAAAAACAGACGAAATCAACGATATTTCGTTTATAAATACAAACACGGGAGACAAAACATAAAATAGAACTCTGCGGATTATTATTTATTTCATTACATCACAGATATACAATTGAAAGAAAAATAGCTGCGAGAGTCTTCTTCAACGATCTGTTTTTTCTAAAACTATCGGTCGTGAACATAACGCACAATTCTGATTCGCATAGAATACTTTTTGCAAACATTTCTGATGAAATAAATGATGACACGGTGTCACACAAGTTGTTCCACTTGTTAAACTGTTATGACATATTGAACATATGTCATTGTATTCTTGAATTTCACTTTCCGTTGCCAAAGGTAATTGACTGACGATATGCCACGCCGATTTTCTATTCCGAAATATTTTCAAACCGCGACGAAAATTCTTAATGATATTCATGTGCGCATGAACGGCAAGCATAAACGCGCGTAGTGCCCCACGAGCTTCGTAGCATAAGATATAGAATCCGTTGCAAAGAAGAAAAATTCCCAGCATAAACTCAAAACAGGATGTGACAGCCTTGATACGAAAGATGTATTCATCAAATGAATCAACATTTGTTAAACGATTGTGTGCCTCAAGCACATAAAGCATATACTGAGCTAACGATGCTAACAGTCTTACAATTAATTCCAACGAAAAAGCGGTGATCGCCAATATCCATGTCGACAGTGTTGCTATACGCCATAGGAAAAGAGTGTACAGAATAATAAATAGTAAGGTCGATACACATGTATAGACATGACGATGATAGAGAGTACGAATGATTTCCGGAGTGAAGTAAGGCGTTGTGGATCTAGAGAAATCGAACATAAAGGTGACAATCGATGTTTTCGGAATACCTGTTGTTGTTTTTATTTATCGATTCTTGGAGATTATCTTCATCTGTTTGATCAAATGCCATTCTTGATGTCATTGTTTGCATAGCTACTTTAAGTAATTGCGGCTCAAGTATGGTATGCAGAAAATGAAGGGATGCGACAATGAGTAAACCGAATGCTTTCAGTAATGGGATATGTCGTCGATGAAGATCTAGTCGCATCAAATTTGACTGGAACAAAAGAAGGAATAGCATCACACCCATAATTGTACCAATTTGTTCGACATCTTCGTTCCATATGTGTAATAGACGGTAAAAACGATGGGATACTGTTTTAATTCCATGTGAAACAAGACAAGCGAAACTCATTAATCTGAAGGAGAACGAAATTGTTTTCTTTCTCACTTGTGACTATCAATTATCTTACGTAAATGTTGTTTCTGTTCCATAATACAGAACTGTGAAATAAATCGATTTTGTCAATGTCGTGTTATAAATTTCGATTGTTTCATTATTACTATTAGTTGCATTGATTATGAATGGATGTGAATAGATCGTTCGAAATCCTAATGGTATGATGAGAATTTTTGTTACCCAAAAGATTTTCATCAGAGTAATAATATCAATTCGTTGCTGTAAATATGTTAATACCGTCTGTATGCCAAAGTTATTATAGAAACGAACGGTGCCGGCAAGGACACGTATTTGAATTAGATAAAGCATTGACTCGATTTGGTAGATAAACAATTCTGATAAATGTGCTAGCAGCCAAACTATACAATAAAGATTTTGTAGATAAATTCCAAACGGTGATGAGAGAAGGAATCGTGTGAAGAGATATACAAGTGGTGCTGATTGACATATTCGAACTTGAATTCGATGGCTATGAGCGTAAGGACGTAGTTTGAGCATTTGAAGATACATTACTGAAAGAATGAATTGTAATATGATCATATTTAGTTCAATATCTGTGACACGATTGATTTGATAATAAAAACGGATAACAAGTAATGAAGTAGTATAGCTGTAAAAGATCACAAGGCGTCGATCAGAACATAGTAACGAAACAATCAGAAGTAACAGTCCTACAAAGGAAGAATATCTATTTGAGACAAGTAATTAGAAATTTTTACCTAGAATTGGGATGGAAAACATTAAATTAATATCGAGTAATTGTTGGAACAAGAAACTCTGTATGACATAATTTATTGATTGAAATACCGAATGGCTTTCTTGATCGAAAATTTCGCTTGAATAACGAAGGAATCGATGGAGCAAAGAAGCGAATTGTTCAGTATATAAATAATCGTAGGCAAGTAGAAATGGTATACGTAATAAACAATACTGCATATAAATAATTGTTTGTCGAGGAATAAAATATTGTAAAAAATCCAAAAATGTTTTACGTTCATAGGTAGCATAGTTGATTAAACGTTGATGAAAATCTTCATTGATATCCATTTCATTGTTATCATCGTCATCCGTCTCCATTTTTGCTTTTCAATTAGTTTTTAACGAAATGAACAAAAAAAAACTAACAGAAAAACGTAGATATACATTCAATAATAAGCCGAACCGGTAATGATTAGCTCGATTCTGATTAGAGGACAATATCGTCCAATAGAAAAGTAGACGTTCGTAATGGTTGATTGTGTATTTGATTGCGAAGTTCACTTTTATTATTCTTAGGTTTTCCATCAGAAGAATGTCAGTAGCGATTTTAAGCGGTAAATCCATTCAATGGATTTTACGTTCATCAAATCCTCTTCGGACAGCGTTTTTACTCGTACCGACAACATCGAAGACGGTCGAACAAAAACGTTCTGTCTCCTGGTATTTAGGTAAAGAAGAACACCGAAATTTCTTATCTCAAGCCAGTTACTTTTATTCAAATCCGGAATATGCTCAATGGAAGGAAAAGCCGTTTCGAAATGGTAACGATGGCACTTTTTCACTAAATTCCTTCTTCTTCATCTTCATTATTTCTAGAATTGATGGTGGAAACACCGCCGAAACGGAAGTTACGTAACTTTAAGATTAACTTTGGTCCACAACATCCAGCAGCTCACGGTGTACTTCGTCTCATTGTTGAACTTGATGGAGAAGTAATTTGTCTGTCTTTTATAATAGAATAAATCGAATTGTTCTTCTAGACTGTCTTACGTGCTGATCCGCATATTGGACTTTTACATCGTGGTACTGAAAAACTGTGCGAATATAAGACATACATTCAAGTAAGAACTAATGTCTCTAACTGTAGATTTGAGAATCAGCAGAAATGTTTTCCTCCAAATGAAATTGATCGAACATCGAATTCTTTAGGCTTTGCCGTATTTTGATCGATTGGATTATTGTTCCATGATGACAAATGAACAAGTCTATTCATTGGCTGTTGAACGTCTCCTTGGTATTAACATACCCGATCGTGCAAAATATATTCGAAGTAGATATTAAAATAACTTGCTACACTCGATGGTATTGTCAAAATGTACCGAATATTTTTAGCTTTGATGGGTGAAATGACACGTATTTTAAATCATACATTAGCTGTTGGTTGTCATGCGCTTGACGTTGGTGCCATGACGCCATTCTTTTGGCTTTTCGAAGAGCGTGAAAAGGTTGAGTAGCAAAAAGATTTTCTTGAAATAATAAAAGAACAATCCATGGGATCGATATAGATTTGCGAATTCTATGAACGTCTTAGTGGTTCTCGTATGCACGCTGCTTACGTACGTCCCGGTGGTGTTGCATTTGATATGCCACTTGGTTTTATGGAAGATGTTCACAAATGGTGTGAATCATATGCACGTCGTATTGATGAAGTTGATGACCTGCTCACGAGAAATCGTATTTGGACTCAACGAACGGTTGGCATCGGTGTTGTATCAGCTGAAGAAGCTCTGAATCTTGGCTTTTCGGGAGTTATGTTACGTGGCTCCGGTATCAAATGGGATCTACGAAAAACACAACCGTACGACGCATATGATAAAGTGGAATTCGATGTGCCAATCGGTGTGAACGGAGATTGTTTCGATCGGTAAGAAAAGCTACGATTAGATTTGGAGCTGAACAGTTAATAAATATTATTATCGTAGTTATTTATGCCGTATGGAAGAAATGAGACAGAGTTTAAGAATAATGGAACAATGCATCAATCAAATGCCTGCCGGAGAATATAAAGTAACAGACAAAGATTAGTTCAATGTGTGCTCGGAAAACAGATACTGTTTTTCTTTAGATTGATGATCATAAGATCACACCACCAAAACGCACGGAAATGAAGGTATATTCAAAAAAAAATGAAAGGGAGAATTTATTTTAATCGGATATTTTAGGAATCGATGGAAGCACTTATTCATCATTTTAAACTTTTCAGTGAAGGTTTCTCAGTTCCGCCTGGTGCAACCTATACTGCTATTGAAGCACCAAAAGTCTGTTCTTCTCTAATTTTTGTCGTATCTTGCAAACATTCTTTGCACTATCTAGGGTGAAATGGGTGTTTATCTTGTTTCTGATGGAACATCAAGACCTTACCGAGTTCATATCAAAGCTCCTGGATTTGTCCATTTAGTAAATAACTTCATTTTTCTAGTGTTTTCCCTATCAAACTGAACATTTTTCTTTCGTTCTAGGCTGCTCTTGATCGTATTGCTCGTCGCCATATGCTGGCTGATTTAGTTGCTATCATCGGTACATTAGATATTGTCTTTGGAGAAGTTGACCGTTAATCATGTCCCATCCCGGCTGTAAATTAAGATTATTTCATTTGAACTCTCCATCGTTTAGAATTCATTTTTCTTCTTTAATAAAAAAATACGCCTTTACCATCAATCTGACTTTGTACGACAATCGAAAAAAAGAAACGGAATACTGTACAAATTAAAGCACAAAAATTCACTGATGAATGATAGAAAAAAAAGCACATTCATCGATTGCATGACATTACAAATGAGAGAATTAAGATAAAAACAAGGTAATTAATTGGTTTGATTGAATTCGCAAGAGCAATACGACATTTCAGTTGGTGAAATCGTGATATCTGAGAATTATCATTCATTAATAATTGCCATTGACTATCCAAAGCATCGCCAGTAAAGAAATCATTCTGATCAATGAATGGATATTCATAGCCAGGTCGACAGCGACATTTATATTTTCCTAGGTGAAAACCTCGACCCAATATCGGTTCACACTAGACGAAAAATGGATCAAAGTACTTATTCCAAGAGCTAATTTTAAGAGAGAATAGCAAACCTACCACTGTGCTCTGGTGATCACAACGATCGCTGCCTTTGAAGGCGTTTGGCACATGATGTGGCATAGAACATTGATTTATATCCAAAAATTTCAGGTAAGCATCGACTCGTACTACACCTCTGAAATATTAACTAACATTGATAAAAAATTTATTTGAATGGAAATTTTTACTTGAATTCAATATTGATTCCGAGTGCATCTAAACCAAAGAAAGGCACTGCATAAGTAACAACCCATTCACGAGGTAGAGTATAATTTCGACTGCATTGAAATCTCGGCGGAAACCATTGGCCATGTCTATAGAAATAAAATTTTGATACTTCAGTGAACAGATGAATCAGTTTGTTATTACCTCAATTCCGGCGCATATGAATATAGTGGAAAACCTGATTCATGATGAACTAAAGCATTTCCAGCATAATCCGATCGAAGAAATAGCTTCAACCAAAATTCTGTTAATTCAGCACGATCGGCATTTGTGCCCCATCGAGCTTTCAATGTCTAAACAAGAAATATTACGATTTTAAATCAAGACTATTGTAAATTGATTTTTTTCATACTCGAAACCAAATTTCATTTTCATATCCATCGGGCAAACCTGCCCAATCAACAACAGAGTATCTTCCACTAATACCATCTTCTGTTCGAAAGGCATATGGTCCAAAATAAGGTAGACGGTAATTAGGAAATTTTCCACGATCAAAGAATATGCCAATACCGACAAGTTTATAGTCACTACCAGCTGCGGATAGCACTTCACCAATCAGTTGTTCGTCTGTTAAATCCAATTCTGCTTGACGTAGAGGGAAATCTTCGGCAGGATTAACAATTTGATAGAAACTCGAGAGGAAATGTGATAATGTTAATGCTACTCGTGCTTGAGATTCAAATTGAATATCAACATCATTCAAAACATCACCTGGCATTGTTAGCTCGTCTTCGGTCATATATTCGCATAGATTTGGATACTGATTAAGATGTTCGTAAGCTTGCATTATAGATCCAATACGTGTTGGATGTTCATGAGCATAACGTCTGGAACGACTTGTCTTACTTTGTTGATCTTCAGATGACTTCGACATGGAAACAACATAATTAAGGGATGCTTTCAAAAAGGATGATGTTGAAGATCCCAATGAAACGAAAGGGTTGAATGATGGAACTACGCGAGTAAAGTAAGTCGAAATACTATAAACAAAACCATAGACGTATCTTACCGAAATTAGTCAATGATAGAATGGTAGGAGTGGGATCTAATTCAACAAAGAGTGATTTATTCAATACGCCAAAATTATCATCATTTGAGCGACGTTTGCGTGTAGCTAAAACTTCCATATTTGATTGATAAAAAGCGTATGGAGTGTCTTGGTACGCTAAAACAGATTGTAATTTAGACGTGTTTAACATTTCCTTTGTAATATATTAAATAGGACAATACGTACCTTCAACTTTGAGACAGTCAAAGTTATGTTCATATTCTTCTCGTGTGGCTTTCTCAATGATATAACCTTTAAATGGTCCATCTTGGTAAGGAGGATACCGATAGCCGGGTTGACATAAGCACTGGTAACCACCACGACGAAATCCAAAACCCATCAATGGTTCACAACGTGTCGTCGGTTTACATTTATCTGTTCCAGCAAACAGGTTTGCTAATTTTGATTGGGTATCGTTGATTAGATCGATTTCAGCACATTGGTTAATATCCATCATAATGAAATCGATTTCGGCTACTGCAACCGCTAAGTTTTTCATCGTTTGAAAATGTTGATGTTCAGTATGTCGTGGATAGATATCAACAATTGGCGAAACAGCACTAAATACCCATTTATTCGAACGGCCACAGTCAAAATATGGACGTGTCCAAAGAGTTGGACCTGAATCAAGCGACGTTCATAATATTCTATTTGTATTGCAACAAAAAAAGTCACTCACCGATCGGATCTTCTGGATGTGGTGGTCCATAAAATTCAAAAATCTCTGGCGCATCGCGTAGTCTATACATTCTGTCTGCTAGCAGTAACTGAACTGTATGCAGAGGCTTACCTAGAACAACAAAATAGTCCATTATTTTCTGTATTCACATCAAGATCACATTCATAAGTCCAGTGAAGAAACAAATACATACATCACAGTGATAATCGTGTTGAGATAGAAAAATAAAATCACTTCAATCACACAAGCAAGAATAAACGAGAGACATGTATCGTTTTTCTCTAATGCCATTATTTTCAATACTCATTTTCGAACTTCAAACGATGTAGATCTCTCGTTTACTTGACTAATAAAAAAATAATTCTACAATACAAATCACCAATAAAAGCAACGAAAATCAATCACCAACAAATCTAGATATGTGACAGAAATAGACAAATAGATAAAAAATATCATCTAATATGTAATTATGTGTACATGTAATTATATATACAGATAGATAAAGAGCATTATATACGTTTTAAAGCTGCGTCATCATCATCAGTTTCATTAGTTTTCTCATTCATCATTTTCCATTCATTATCATCCAAATCGGTATCATTGTTAGTCGGCAGATAAGGCGGAGGTATTATAAATCTATTAGAGCGGTCATCTGTAAATAAAGTAATAAATAAAAGTCATACAAAACAAATCCTGTACGAAAATTTCAAAAGTGACCAATATTAACTAATTACTCACTTGGCATTCGATTATTTCGAGTTTGATCTGGTAACCATTTTCGATACCATTCATAAGCGCGATTATATCGTGACGTATAGTGATGATCACGACCAGCACCGATATCTTCTTGTTGAATCGTATGATTAGTCCATTCGTGTTTCCAATTGAACGCATCTAGTACAAATAAAACTATTGGAAAACTTTGAATTTATCGATCATTACCATAGAAATCATCAGCTCGCCAAGCATATGGTCCGAATAGTGAAATGGTCTTATTGAAATAGTTCTTATACCAATGCGGATAATATTTATCTTGATCGAAAAAGATTCCTGAACCATTGATCATACCGCGACCACCTGTTATATCAGCTATTAAACAACAAAACCATGCTTTTCTTCATACAATCCGCATCAGTGTTCTTACCAGCATTATGTAAAAGTATGTATGTAAGACCCGGTTCTTCAAGATCAAATAATCGTTGAAATAAATAACTATAGAGAAGGGCATTTCGATGGGCTATATTACGAACATGTAATAATTGTGTTCGATTTCTCATAATAATGTCTTTTCTTAACATATCAATGGACGGTTTTTGATAAACGGCTTCTTCGGGTAGAACGAGTTCACTAGGTTGTTTTTGAAAGCAATTGACACTGTTCACGGAATTAATTCGATCCATAATTTCATCGATTTTATCATAAGTAATCCATTCGAACTGTGTCCGATACTTATTTGGTAGAAATAGGCATAGAAAAAGAAAAAGGCTAATACGTACAAAGAGTTCCATGATTAGGAATCTAAAATAGAGAAATATAGCTGTTCTAGAATAAGTTTCTCGAAAAGAAATATATTTTAAATGTTTAATTATCGATTACAATGAAACATTTGCTCATCGTATTGTTGAAAGAATAAATCTTCAAAGGTTTCAATTTGTTGTCATAATATCCATAACTTGTATTCTTAATACATAGACGAAACATAAGCATGACATTTTCAAGCGTTAATTGTATTCTGGATGCATAATCAATCCATTGCATAAATTGAGAATTGCAGACGATGAGTCCTGTTTCTTCAACAAGTGTTCTCGTCATCAATATTCTTCTTCTTTTATAAGTATGAGTTCAGTAATGTATTTTCTCTTACCTTCATATGGCGAAGAGAACGTGCAAAGAAAAAGAAGAATGTTCATCGATTATGAGGTCAACTGTCTACCACAAACACGTAATGGTCATTTTGACAACTGAGAACTACCAATTGTATTGTAAGCCGATTTTCCGATAGTGATAAACGGCAGTGTTCTCACTCGTTGAGTTGCAATTGCTGATCAGACATGTACTATCCTTTGTGATCAACAGTTGCACAATGAAGATTAGATTAAATTCAAAAAATTTCGTTCAATTGCCCAGTAAGGAAGCAAAACAGTAGATTGAAGAATAAACCAATTGCAGAGTATTTCAATTGAAGATGTCTAACAGAGACATCTTCCTCAAGAGTTTGATATGTTTCAATTTTAAAACTGTTTGTTAGAGCGATCAAATACCGGGCAACATGGATAAGTAACGGTCGTGATTTCTGATTGTAGTTAAGGTATACATTTTTCAAAGCACTGCCTGCTTGATTATATTGAATGCATCTTTACCGTCTTGAGGCTGAGAGAACTCATTGCCATTGATACAGAATATTCCTCAAAATATTACTTTTTTGTTGACCAACTATGGATGTCTAGCATAAAAAACATAAATTGCTTTTAAAAACCATAGAAGAAACCTCGAAACTAAATCCCAAGAAGAGGATGCAGGCGAAAATCATAGAAATTTAAGTAATTATGTATTTCCATCGACCATACTACAGGGAAAGACTATAAACAGAGAAAAGTATGTCCATCGATTATGAGGTCAACTGTCTACCACAAACACGCAATGGCCATTTTGATGACCGGATTAAAATATTGAGTTCTTACGCGTTCTGCTCTAATGTCACCGGTCAGATAAGCAGAGCTTCGGAGAAAATAGATTAGACAGACTCTACAGTTCGAAAAAATTTTCTAATTCAAATATCTTCTTCAATTTACCATTTCATTCTTGCTTTCTTTGTGTTTATTTCAATTTTATATTTGATTGTGGCGCTCGTGTCCTCATTAGTCGAATTATTTAACCAATAGGATTGCTTTCTTTGTTTTCCACACCGTGCAAACTTTCATTTTCGTTTCACTAGAATCAATTGGCTTACGTAATTTAGAGAAAATATTCTGAGGATGTCAACTTGGCGTAGACGATTTTCGTAAGAATGAACTCTTTTTGCATAGAACATCAGCCAACCGATTTTATTTTCAGACGAAAATCACAACGATTGAATGAAACTGATGAAATCCTATTAAATAATTCGGTTAAGTATCGTAGGAAATTATATGCAGCGTATACTCAAATTAATCGCACAAAGAAGTTCACTCAACGAAATTTGGACAGTCCTGACTGGGAAATCCATGGTTCGTACATAAAGATCTGTGTTTCTATCCACAACTTTATCAATTTAGTTGCTCGTCTTGTCAATGATATCGGTCAATTATCTGGTTGTAAATCACTTCAAGTATGTTCATCTCATGCTGATGATTGAAGCAAAATAAGTAGACTAATTGCTGTTTGTTTTACTTTTGCAGGAAGTCAGCAGTTTAATTGATTCATTAGCAATGCGAAATCAACTGTCAGCAAGAATTTTCAATGGTGAGAAAGAAACTAGTTTATTCGAATGTCTAATAAATCATTTTAGAATATGCAATGAACTCGCTGCAACAATCGTTGAAGAAGTTGAATGACAATCTTTCGAACGATTTTGATAAAACCAAATCTGTGCTCGAAGAAGCCATAACTAATCATTGTTCTGATAATACAAAGAAGCAGCTGTCAAGCAAAGGTATGACTAACAATCATAATTGTATCTAAACACAAGTTCTGTTCGTTTCAGTGCAAACTGAATGGAATAAACACCAAACATTTGCGACTAAAGAACTCAAACAGGGTCTATTATCCTATTGTGACATTGCTTCCTACCATCTTCGAGTACAGACGGCAATCGTAGAAAAACTTCAAGTAAATGTCGATGTCTCCCTTCAATTGCAGTGTTTTTCTTTGATTTTTTTTTCTGTAGAACTTCGTTGAACAACTACCAGATGATGATAATAATGTCAATGGTGGCTTACCCAATTTTTCTGCGGCAAGCGTGGAAACACGACGAGAAATCGATACCATGTTACGTATTATGCTTGATTCGGCACCGAATGATCCAGCTTCTTTACCAAGCAACAAACGACCAAAGTTTCTCAACAATCATTTAACTCTTTCCAGTGAGCGATTAGATTATTTTGTATTCGTTCTTACCATCATAATTTCGTTTTTAGATTCGCTATATTCAGCTGAAATAACTGAAGCCGCAGCACGTTCAAACTTACCATCTATAGGACAGAGATTTCCACCTGGTATTCCACAATATCCTTCGATTGTTGCAACAGCAACAAATAGTCAGACGCCACAGCATCAATCGAACATTCTTTCTCCTCTAACTCCAAATAATGCTCGTTTTCATAGTAACACAAGTAAACCCAATTGATTCTCATGAATATCTTTGCGATTATAGAAAGTTTTCTAGATACACCTGTGGATGATCATTTACCATCCTATACTGATTTATTCGTTGTACCAAGCAATTGTAAAGGCGATCGTCATGAGCGACGAAACACATTTGCAAAAAACTAGTCAATGCAAGTCTTGCTTTTTGGTCACTGTACAAAAAATGGATCTCCTCTGTATTTGTTCTTTCGATTAGCGATATTTTTTGTCTGATACATAATATGTAGAGTCTAATTCTTAATTTATGCATGTACCGATCTCGATTGTTCTTAACTCTTGTTACGGTTTAATCAGCCATTTTCTAATTGTCAGATCACACATAGATGTATATATAACACAATCTGAATCTCTGTTTATTATTTGCTTAAAATAAATGTTAAATCTGTGTTCGTGTTTGTCATCTCAACCTTTCGTCGATATTCGGATAGAGCAGATGCGGTGACACATATCACCTCATGTTCAAATATGAGATTGAATGTCTTTTGTAGATAAAACAATATCGAATCATGTCGAAGTCGAAAAATTCAGTAGGACGTTCGTTAGTAAAAAAACGTTTTCCGAATCAACATCGTACAAAGTCCGGAGATGAATGGGTGCGTGATATGTATATGAGACAGATAATTTTAATCTACGATTCCATGTTATTTAGACACACCAGCGACTTGATTTCACTGCTAGTAATGATTGGAATCGATTGAATCTACGATCAGTGACAGATCAAAATTCACTGGATGAATTTTTAACAACTGCACAATTAGCCGGCACGGATTTCGCAGCAGGTTGTTTATACTCAGTGTATCTCGATATGGATTTGTTACTATAATCTGTTTTTTTTTAGAACGACTCAATGTTACGTTTGTTCCTGCTGTAGCAAAAGTTGGAGTTTTATCTTCCGATGATAAAAAACGTATACGAGAAGTTCAAAATCTACATAAAGATCGACTGAGTATTCCGCGGAGGTAATGCTTCTTTCGATAGTTTCACAAATAGAATGCAATTGCTTTCTAGACCCGCGTGGACATCCGATATGAGTGCAGAACAAATCGATCAACAAGAACGTGCTAGTTTTCTCGAATGGAGACGAAAATTAGCTTTGTAGGCTCACTAAAATGTCTTCTTTTTCTAACTATTAATCATTTATTTTAGATTACAAGAAGTCGATGATTTAACATTGACACCATTTGAAAAGAATCTTGAATTCTGGCGTCAATTGTGGAGAGTTATCGAAAAAAGGTAAACGTTCTGACTTTCAACTAACAAATTCATTGTTATTTACATCAATAGTGATGTAATTGTTCAAATAGTTGACGCTCGAAATCCATTACTATTTCGTTGTGAAGATCTGGAAAACTACGTTCGTGAATTATCACCGGATGGCAAAAAAATAAACGTAGTCCTAATTAACAAAGCCGATCTATTAACAGATGAACAGCGGTAAACTCGAGTTATCTTCTTCATTGATTCCAACAGTATAGAATTGTTTTTTTAGACTAATGTGGGCGAATTATTTTGATGAACATGACATACGAGTGATATTCTACTCAGCTTTGGAATCGGCTCCGACGACGAGAAAGCGCAAGATAACTGTTGAGTCTGAATCATTGGATGATACCGAAAAAGTTCTTGAAGAGATTAAACGCAGTCAAGCTGGTCACAATGATGATAATTTTGAAATCGCCAAGTCTCCCAATCAGTTAAATCGATTCGATGGTCTTCAATTAGAAGATGAAAATGAAGAGAAAACAAAAGCAGAAATCAATGTGGACAGTGAAGTCAGAGATGAAGATGGCGATGACGATGATGAACAACAAGAAGAAAATGTATCTGAAAATGAACAAGATGATGAAGACAACGAAGAAGATGAAGTTGTTGAACAAATACGTGAAGATATTTTAGCGTATGTGCAATCAAAAGAAGTTAAGAAGAAGAATTTGTCCATAGTTGTCAACCGAGAGGAATTGATACATTTACTTAAATGTATATATCCTCATGAAACAACTGCCCGAGAAAACATTTTGACTATTGGAATGGTAATTCGATCCAAATCGTTTTCGTTCTACGATATTTCATTTCTGTTTCTTATCATCAATAGGTTGGCTATCCAAATGTGGGTAAAAGTTCAACAATTAATTCTTTGTTACAATACAAAAAAGTATCCGTGTCGGCAACACCGGGAAAAACGAAACACTTTCAGGTAATCGATTGAAATATATATTGAAACCATGCTCGCATTTCTACTGTTGTAGACAATTTTCCTAGAGAAAAATCTTCTCCTGTGTGATTGTCCTGGTCTTGTTTTTCCATCATTTGTATCGACTAAAGATGAACTGACTATCAACGGAATCCTTCCCATTGATCAAATGCGTGATTATATTGGTCCTGTCAATCTCGTTTGTCATCAGATTCCACGATTTGTTCTCTCGCATGTCTACAACATAATGTTACCATTGCCAAAAGAAGGTGAAGATGAAAATCGTCCACCGACCGCCGTCGAATTATGTGCTAGTTATGCTTGTAAGTTCTTCCGATTGAACTTCGAATGAGTCTTTACAATTTCTATCTAGATCGACGGGGGTTCATGACTCACAAAGGTATTCCAGATGGTAGTCGTGCTGCGCGTCTAATTCTCAAAGATTATGTCAATGGTAAATTGCTTTATTGTTATCCTCCACCTGGCTGTGACGCGGAAGAATTTCAACAGTATTCTACTCGTTATCATCTCGACAATAGCGATGATGATGACGACGATGAAGATGATGAAACAAATAAGAAGGAAATGAGTTCGAATGAAACAACATCAAAAGTATATTTTATTTTATTCACAAAGAATTGTTCTTTTCTTAAATAAGACTCTTCTTTTTCAGCCATCACGATTTCAACCATCAGAAGTCGATCGACAATTTTTCCAGCCAGTAAATCGCATTTTTTTTTGTCTCGAGTGCTTGATTTCATTTCTTCTCTAGACTGATGTACGGTTCGGCAGTAAGGGTCCGCATGGTCAAGTCAATTATACCAGAAGAAATGGTCCAATCTTAACGGGTGCAACGATGAATGATCCAACTAATCCATCGTTAGAAGGCAAGCCTTGGAAGAAGCACAATAATCGTAATAAAAAGGAGAAATTACGACGTTTGTATCGACATCTTGATGCTTAATTAATAAACAGTGATGAGAAAGCAGAGATCCGCAAATATATATGTATAAGACTATGTTTTGTTTCTATACATAATAAGAGGAAAAAGAAAACAGTCGAATTGTTTTCTTTTTTTACCAATTGATATACGTAATGTACATAAATTAATCACCGGTTATGAACACTTTGTTGAACTCATAGTTGTTCGCGTTTTCTTTTGTTATAATTCAGTTACTTTCATTGGTGGCAAACGCGTTTGAGACACGAGTCGTTGCTCGTCACAACCATTCGGTTTTCTATACGAAAATGTCTGCCGAGAATTAGTTGGTGTTGTGCAATTCTCTTGGTATGATTCGTACATATGATTATCCACAGTTGTCATAATGTTTCGAGGCGATGAGAGCTTCTTCGGAAGAGGAGGTGGAGGTCTTTTAGGAATTGGTGATTTGGATCGACGTGGTGTTCGCTCGGTTTGAATACATTGATTGATAAATGGAATAATTGACGATGTTGAAGAACTTCTATTCACTTCGTTATGATCTTTTTTAGTTGGTGTTTTTGAACGGGAAGTTTGGAAAGGTTTCAGTACAATTTCCTTCGATGATTTTGAACGCTTCAGATTCGGTTCCATCAGTTTCACAGGTGATGTGTTCGGCGGAGAGATCGAATATGTGCGTAAAAGTTTCTGATCACTTCGATGAGCTCGACGTAGACTATCATGAAATGAAGACGAACGAATAAAACTTGTCTTTGATGGTTTCAAACGATCTATTATAGAAACGAATAGAAGAGATATAAGATGAGAAAAGGGAATTTTACCTAAAGATTTGACATTATCGAACAATGACAGATTAGTTGATTCGGAAAATGATTTCGACGCATCGGAAACGATGTGATTGATAGGTAAGGAAATAGCCGAGAATGATTCGGACATGATTGATGATGTATTCGATTGGATAAAGTTAAAGTAATGCTGATGAGGCAAAACTTTCGCTAACTTTTCCGGTCCATCTTCGATGACTTTCTTCATTCGTTGATAGTTCTTATACAATTGTGTTCCGTGCTGGATAATTCGAATTCCATTCATCCATCGTTGACATTCTTCATACGTATTTGTACATAAATAATGAATATATTTATTAGATTTCTTTTGTATATGCGCATATTTAAGTGCAAAACCATATTCAGTCGGTGAACGTAACGCTTCCATCCAGTTATTTGCATAGTACAGTTGCATATTTGAATCAAATTTTAATAAACAAATGAGATCACGTTTGGACGAAGAAGATTTCGGTAGTTGATAAATTCCCGATTGCCGTAAAATGCACGAATGCTTTTTCCAAATCTTTCGACTTTTCTCTTTGATGTAGAGAACACTCGTGATATCATCGGGTAGAACAATCGTATTCGATGTTACATAATCTGTGAGAAGATGATCGGCATTTTGTTCTTTGATTGAGAAGAAGCTCTTCGTATCCATAAACATAGAATATTTGTTCTCGTGTTGACGAAAACATATACGATTATTCGTGTCTCTTGGCCAATAAACGATTGCGTCGTTGATCAAATTTTGATGATCTTCGAACGTACGGTAGATATGCAAATCAGGAAGATCTTCGATAAGCGCATGATCATATGCGGGTTGTAAACGATATTTATGTAGTAGTAAAATTATAATATCATGGATCGACATTGTCTCATCAATAAGTATATTCTTTGTTGATTGATCATCATTGTGAATTTTCACAAACATTTTGCGAATATTGGCTTCATGCATTTTCTCTAAAGCCATACGAATTTTACTATCTCCAGATGAATGTTTCAATGTATCACATGACAAAACCTAAAGTTTGCACGGAAGAAAAATGGAGCAGATCGATCGAATTTCTAACTTACACTCGAAAGATTGGAGATCTGACTACTTGTTCGTAGTTGTGAGCGTTGTTTATAAGGCAAACTTATTGAGTCAGTTGATTGAGACAAGCCACTATCAGAAAAATGCTCATCGCCTTCGATATCACGAACTTTATCATCACTGCCGTCTTGTCGTTGTCGATGATGAACCGTTGTTGAATCACTCGCTGCTGACGATGATGAACTATTCCCTGAGTCACCTAATTCAATTTCGACATTATTCAAAGTACTTGTTAATGTTGCAAGTGCTTGATCAAGTTCATCAAATTGTGCAACAATGGTCGGTGAAATTGATTTTTTACAACGATAATTAGATTCATGACGAAACATTTTTGGTTGATCTAATCGTTGTTCAAGTGTGTGAAGTTGTTCAAGTAATATGTCAAGATCATCTTCTATAAAGAAAAACGAGAAAAAAAAACACATAACAAAAGGTTTGTCAATTGATTTTCATTTGAGTTTTGTCTTGTCGATTATTGATTGATTTCTTCTGACTACATACTTCAATTCAATCTGTCTAAGAAGCTCTCTTTCTTCATCTTGTTCTCTTTTCTCATCAACATTTTCAAGTGATGCCTGAGAATAAAACTCTTTTGTTCGTGTTCAAATACTTGCTTATCCGATCAATCAAATCGCGACCTGGATTTGTTTGCATGCACATGTATGTATACACATATGTTCAAAACGATGACGGCTGTCGCCGATAAATGTAAATTCTTTTAATCATATTCAGACTTCAATCAAAGACATTCCGATTGTAAAGAAACTGAATTATTTGCGTTTTTTTATGTATCAAAAGAACTGTCTTCGATTGAGTTTAACAATAAACAAATCTTCTTCTTCTTCTCCGTTGAGCACCACTCTCCAATAATCTCCTCGCTTATGTATGAATGTTTACTATTCAGATACATCCTCCCTCGCTCTTCCTCAAGTGATACATTGTGCAATGATCAATCAGTACTTCACTATTGTCTATTGATTAATAATTAATTTATGAAAATAAACAGTGATTGTCTACCTTTTCCCATTGCGAACATTGTTGGTGATGCTGATGTTGTATTCTGAGCTTGTCGTTCCAATGTAGAGAGTTCGACGTATGCTTCTCGAATTTCCTATTAGGCAAACAGATGAAAAAAAATTAGTCTCCATACATAACAATAAACGTTTATCTTTCTTCTAGTGCCAATGCAGATGTGGAACAGAATAACTTCCGTTTAGAGTTTGATCCCTACGGTCACATTATGCTCAGCGAAAGGGAGAATAATGGTGCGAAGACATTTCGACTCATTATGTTGATAAGCCGACAAAAAGAACGGAATACCGTTTTGTATCGCCAGTGGTGCCAAGTGGAAAATGAACTCATAAATCTGTTACATACGTAACCATCCTACTAACGCACATCCGTTATAATCAAATCCAAATGTGACAATATGACGCCGCTCTGTGCATGCGCGTAGAGAAAAAGATACCTAGCCATTTTGCGCTGGTGAGAAATGATCTTATGTATAAAGGACATACACTAATTTTGCAAGGCGCAAGCTGACTGAGGTCATTAAGCAAACATGTTTGTGCTTGAATGAAAAGCTAATTTGATGGTCGGTCAATGGGAAAGAAGCAAGAGAAAGAGAGAGAGAGAGAGAGAGAGAGAAAGAAGGACTTACTTTTTTGAAACTATGCAGATCGCCAAGGCAATTCTCAACGGATAAATTTGTTGATGAATGGGCTGTTTGTTCGTTAGTATTATCATCACAAATAACGAATTCCTCGTCCAGAAGATCATCATCACCTGTTTCGGATTCTTCACTTATGCTTGACATCGAACAACGACGCAAGTACATCCGATGGTACATTTTGATTCGATTTTAATTGAATATATATATATCTTTTAAAAACGTTTCTCCTTATCTAAAAGACAGAAGAAAAAAAAGAAATTGAACACTTAAAATTAGTAAAAGACAAGTCTGCACTAATGTTTGCTTGCATACTTGCTCGTCTAATGCACTCAAATATGTAAAATAATTGAACAAACGTAAGTAAAGGTATGAGGTAATATTATGTGTGAAAATTCATTACAAATGATACTGTGAGTAGCACTTCACGCATGACATACAGAGTAGAAATGAAAGTGACAGATGAACTATTACTATTAAGATTATTAAGGTTAACTGATCATCAACTTATCTGTTTTATGTATACGAATGGTCATAAGAATAATTTACTGACGTTCTTTCGAGAAATATTGTTCATTTATCATTAGCAACTACTTTGTTTTTGTTAAGATAGAACAGACTCGTTAGTTGATGATGTCTATCAGAAAGAACAAGACAATACATTGCCATCAGAATAAATAATCATATTGTTTGAGCCTAAAAGAAAAATTGATGACCAAAGAGCCTTGATGGAACATTAAAAAGGGTCCCATACTTCACTTACTTTGCATGTTTTTACCTTAAAAAGTTATACTTATACCATTAGAATGTCTGATTTTCAAAGAATGCATTATAAATAAATGTATGTTTGAGGTAGAACAGTGAACTATATTTTCTTTTCTTCTCTCTCTCTCTCCCTTTCTGTGTTGCTCCTGTCCTGCACTATGTACTATTATATTCAACTAAGCACTGTCCGACTGACTTTCTTTTCTTCTTCTCTGTCTCTCATGTGTTCTCACTGTTCATTGTCTGACTATCTCTCTCTCTCATCGGCTGCTTCACATCGTCAAAGGGTTACTGCATTGCAGTACATATATTATATAGGTTGTGTAGAAGTAATAGTAATAGTTGGAGAATGTTAAGAGTGTGGATGCGAAAGAACAGAGGAACACGAAGAGAAAAAGAGAAATCGAAAGTATACTACATTACTCAAAATATATGCATTTGTTCTTTTCCTTATCATCATTTTGTTCTTCTTTTTTTTCTCTTTCTTTCACGGTTTTTTTTGTCATATTAATGGCCTAGACAAAATGCATAGGTATTGTATCGTTCTAATATCTATCGCTCTCATCCTCTTCACCTTGAACTTCCATGACATATAACTATAAAATAAAATATGACAAATCACTGAGTTTCGGTAGTAAATCCTCCCTGCGAACAAAACTTTGCTCTCCTAGGTGATATATTTTGATGAACGACCGAGCTGATGATTATCACACTGTATACTTAGTCATTTTTAATACCTGACATGTGTCGACACACGTCGGAGTCTATTAGTTGATCATTAGATATTTTATCTCTGAACGCACGTACATCTAAATTCAATACAATCCCATTTAATCAAAATAAGATGAAGTGCATATGGCACGTTTTCACCTCCCTGTGTGTGTGTGTGTGTCTTTCTCTCTCTGTGCATATATATACATATAAATGTATGTTCATTTGGAAGATATACATAAAGCATTCATTAATTCCTATGCACAATACGATCGATTTATTTTTGTTTGATATAGAACATTAGACCAATACAAAGAACAGAAAGAGTAGCAATAACACAAGTTGTTTTGAACAATTGATTTGAATTCTTTTTGATCACAATTTCATCTGGTTTTGCTTGAATCGATGAAAATCGTTGATGATGAATTTGTTTGAGCAATTCATCTGTGTTTGCTTGTAAACATTTGACGTCCATTTCGATTTGATCGATTTGAGAATGATATAAACTATAATCCAAATCGAACGTCCCATCATCTCTTGGCGGCGTTTCATTGTTATTCAACAGTAATTTTAGACTAGATATGACTAGATTGCCTTCATTTTCAATACGCGTTAGAATACTGTCGCTATCTTTTATTGATAGGATTGGTTCATATTGTTCAACTGACTGATTCTTTTGTTGGATTTCATCAATAGCGTAACATAATTTATTCAAATCCTCTGTATTTTGTATGCCAATGTCATTGAGATTAACTAAAGCGAGATCACTAATTGTATGAAATCGACCGATTAAGATTGGCTTTAGGTATTCTAAATCAAGAATTTCCAGAAGAATCGACACATCATCCGTGTTCATATCTATAAGGGAAAAGTTTTGACGTGTTTTTGTTTTTTATTCAAAAAAGAAAACAATTAACATGAAATCAAGAAGTCGGTTTCTTCTTTGGTGGTTTATTCTTTTTCTTTTCAACATTTGTTTCTATTGGTTCTACATTCGGAATCGTTGGGTCACGTTCATAGATCAATGTTGTACAATAGTCGCCTAATTTACGTGAACGATCCAATTTCAAGCCGTTTTTTTCGATAAATGCTTTCATTTCTGATTGTTTGTCATTCTCAATCAAATGTCGAAGAACATCTGCCGTTGTCATAGTTGCCAGTTGTGATCGAGAGATAGGCATCGAAGAGAAAACAGTCGTTTCGAACTAAACGCGAATTTTCTTCTGCTGGATTTTACGGAGAAACTAAGAAACATCTTACTAGAGCATTGATCTTGCCAGGATAATCATCAGGTAATGATGGAAACTTTTGTTCGAATAGACTTTTAGTCTAAAGATAGGCATCCTTAACAAACATTCCTCTTTATCTCAAGATTGATTTTACTAGATCGTAACCATCGATATTCGTTTTCATTTGCTTTTGTAATATAATCCAAAGTTCAGATGATAAACACGGAATCACGGGTGCCATCATTACTAGTAGATCACATAGTGATTGAGAGTATTCCTTTGATTGCTTTTTAACGTCTGCGGACACTTTCTAGAATCGAATAAAAAAAAACAAATTCAATGCATGGCTATGAATAGTATGAAGATTCGTACTCGGAGATGACGTGTTAACTTTTGTAATTCAATGATGGCTGATGCGATACTAAAAAAACTGTCGATATAGAACGAAACTGTGTAAATCGTATGCAGCCGTTGTTCACGTAATGATGCTTCGATTTGCTGGAATTCTTCATGATTTATGGGCGATTTTGTATCCGGTTTTGTTCGTGGTTCGATTAAATCAACATAGAGATGTGTGAAAAGTTTAAACCAATTCTGTAAACCTTCCGCAATGCCATCTTCCACTAAAAACAGATACATTTTATAACCATGAAAATAGTTTTATTAATGATGGAATGGTGTTCTTCTAAGTTCGTTAGTACGAAGGATCTCCAATGAACTCCGAGCCGGTACGACAGAGTTTATTTGGTCACGGTCATAGCATGAGGAAAGTTCATGATCATGAGGCACGGTCATTTCTCGGTATAAACTATATATCAGATATTTATGACAATGACAGTCGAACAAAAATTTCACTTTCGTTCCATGAATGAAACATTGTTTTAGTCTCTTCTGTTAGAGAAACAAGAGAGGTCAATTATCGAAATAACCTAGCACAGCTATTTTCATTTCTGTCTTTAATTGTTATTCATGACCGTGACTATGTCTAACGAAAGTCAAACAGGTCACGCTGTTGACTACTATTGATGTAGCCTTTGTTCAAGAATGCTTCAAAATACAAACAAATTTCGTCTATTTTCAGCAAGAAATATATTTACGTGTGAAATTGCGTAATGATCGTGGATGTACGAAACTAAGCATTAGCATTCGAGTGAAATCCACGCCATACTTGTCGATAATTTCTTCAGGATCAATGCCATTATGTTTCGATTTACTCATTTTGTCCCAATCAGTTTGTAGTGGTTCTTTTGTTAATGAATGAATCGTTGTGCTTTTATCAATTGTTAACACTTGATCTTTTCTTACATATTGACCACTCAATGTCTTATAAGTTTTACCTTGAACCATTCCTTCAATGAATGATTACTAACTATTGGATTTATGTGCACATGATTGAAACTCCTCTTACCGATAGGAATAAATCGTTTGAATGGTTCAATAGAGGTACATAGACCTTTTGAGTACATAAAATGTTGAATAAACCGAGCAACAAACAAATGTGTTAAAGCTATTATAAAGAAAAAGAAAGAGATGGTTAGAGTGTGATTACAATGTTCAATTACCATGCTCTAGTCCACCGATATAAAGATCAACTGGCATAGATTGATTGACAATATTTGGCTCGAAAGGTTTTTTGGTGTTTTCATTATCTAAGTAACGAAGAAAATACCACGAAGAATCAACAAACGTATCCATTGTGTCAGTTTCACGTTTGGCTTCTTGATTTCCACATCTGAAATACAGATAGTTCCCCATTTTGTTCTTCTTATAGAAACGATTACTTTGGACATTGTGTTTTCAACCATTCATGAGCATTTGCCAGCGGCGAAGTGCCTGTTCTGGACGAAGATTTGATGTTTTCGATAGGTGGTAACTGAACAGGTAGTTCATTTTCTGGAACTGGAACAACCTAAATCGAATTTCGCGCTTTTCATATGTTAAGATAGAACAGGATCTTATTTACTCCACAATTTTTACAATGAATCATTGGTATCGGCGTACCCCAATAACGTTGCCGTGAAATACACCAATCATTAAGTTTACCAGATGTACGATAACCACCTAAGCCACGCGATCGCAGTTCTGCCATCAATGTTTCAACATCCATCGTCTGTCCAGGCGCTGATGAGTCGGACATTGTTGAGATATTCTGTTGACGTGCAAAAACTTCATCGAACGGATTAGTCGAAGGTGTGCCTAGCAAAGAAAAAAACCGATTTTCTTAATCGATTATAAATCCGCTGCCTTCTGTCACCTATCTGAACATTTAACATAGGCATATTCGCACGTATTTTTGGACCAAAATCCGCATCGTCATTTATAAAAATCGGCAATAGTTGTTCGGTCAATGGATGAACAGCATCTGTACGTAAACGTTTAGCACCTGTGTTTGTCTCCTAAAAGAATAAATAAAAGTATATCAGCAAGAAAGCCACGTAGAAGAAGCATAAGTCTTACTTCAATTAGGTCTGCTCGAGCTAATTTATGATTGCTTCGTATGTAGAGGTGTGTTACATTTAACAATGTCTCTGGTTTGGTTGTAAATGTTTCGAGAAAATCAAATTCATTCGTTGGAATCTAATGTATTCAGATACATTTCCGACAATTCTACGAATGCATTAGTGTTATTTATTTCCATCGTACCTTTAACTTAAACTGAACATTTACTCCATTACAATCTCCCATCCACATGCGTTGAATATTAATCAAGGTTTGCCAATCATCTTTGTCTAATGTGTCAAGATTGTCAACGAGGGACTAGTAACAAAACGAACAAGAAAACAACACTAGATCGTATATTTTTACAACATAACACGCACATAGATACATCCATACGAATGAAGAAAATGGACATCTAACGATTAGTTATACTATAACATCGTTTCAGTTCATTTAGTGTATAGAAAAACATGTATTCTGTACCATATGGTTCACATTCATATTTGAATGGAACAACATACTCATTTAGTAACATTCGAACGAGAACTTTTTCGTCTTCAGGACGAGAATTTCCACCATGATGACGAGGATGATATCGAAATATTTCCCATTGAATATTCGCTGACATTGGTGAAATAATTTCACCACGCCATCCATTGTTCGCATAGGTGTATGCTTCTTTAGGTGGTGTTTGTTTGTCGCTCAGAATGGGTATTTTCAGTAGAGCGATGAATGGAATAACGCCTTCAGCGTGTCCAAAACGCGCGCGAAGAAAATGCTTTGCATCTATCTGCGAACATTCATCTGAATCGACGAGGAATTCATCAAGTAAGATTTGTGCCATATCGTAAGTTATTGTTTGATTGAGAAATCCCGGTCCTTTCTCATAGTAATCCTAGAATAGAGATTTCAGTAGAAATATATCGAGATGATCTGCAGGTCTTCTTTACTTTAGCATCTTGTAAGTAAGCATACCAAGCTGATTGATTTTTCGAAAAGTATTTTTCGAACAAAGATCCAACACCTTCTTGTTGTAAGTTGGAGCTAATCAAATAAAGAGCATGAAGCATGCGTACGGCATCGAATTCATTTCTTATTGATCTTTCAGATTCATAATCCACAAAAAAGTATTGTCCATCTACAAGCTTATCGATAAATGATGGTCGATAGAGTTGTTCCAGAATATCTCGAGCCATTTGTTTTGAGTAAGATTGTTTTTCGATAGATCTTAATTTATTTTTCAACTGTTTATCTTTTTTTAAATATGTTTGATATCTCGCATTGTCATGGAAGAAAAGTAAAGACGGATTCGGTGGTTGATGATCAACGAGATGAACAACACTTGGTGGTAAACCTTGAACAAATGCTCGTAGGCTTGCTTTGGTCCGTGACTTGTTACTACTAACAACTTGAATACTTTTCGATTCGTTGCGTAGTAAACTTTTGATAAATAGTGGCAGAAGACGTTCTGCTACGCGATGTGCAAGACCTTGCTGTTCGTGTTTACCAAGTTCAGACAGTTCGCCACGTCTACAAAAAAGAATGTGACAAGTTAAAAATGCTTGCATAGCAAATTTCGAAATACAAACCCGATTTGATCGTTAACGGCAACAAAATATTGCAGATCCTCTCCGAATTGTCGACCGAGTTCTGTTAACGCATCTTCCTCCTTTGCTTGAATCCATAGTGCTTTCGTCAGCGTGTCATATTTCCGACCTTCCAATGCCCGTGAACCATGTCGAGTAAAGATCTGTGCGCATACTAGGTCATATTCGGGCGGTGGTGGTGGCAAATCCAAAGCCGCCGAGGGTGGTTTATAGGGTGTTTTCGTTGAATAAAATGCTGTGCGTACACCAATTGTTTTGTTAAGTACAAAACTTATCAATACAAAAAGAAGCCAAGATATTCTTGCCTTCATTTTCTCGTAGATAAGAATGATGAAGAAAATAGAAACTGATTGCAAAACAAGAAAATAAACGCATTCATACACGTCACCGAGGGAAAAACTAATCTATTCGCATCGCAAATACACACAAGTGGGTGGAATAAAAGAGTGATTCTGATCCTTTAAGTAAATAACGAGCACTGCGCGCACGACTAACATTGCATATGAAAAATACGCAAATATTCAATTGGGCACATTGTCTATCTATTATTAAAATCCGTAGGATGTTTTACCTGTGTAAACGCGCGTGTGCGAATGAACCATTGCTTCAAGAATTTCTTTTCCACGATCGAACCCGATCGCCATGATCGACCGGCTTCATCGATTTGCTCATCAGCAAGAACAGTTTGATCAACTGGATCCCAATTAACAGCAGCCTATGAGAACACTTAAATCAGATTCATACGAATTCCTTGCATACTTTCTTTTGATAAACCAATCCTTCACGATATAACATGAGAAAAATGTATTGCGTCCATTTATAATAATTCGGATCGCATGTTGCTAACTCCTAAATATGTTTATCATCGGAGAAGACTTGAATGAGAAGAAGGGGAATTCACTTGCTCGTTTCCAATCAAAACTGCACGCAAGTTGTTTGATCTGTTGTTTCATATAAGCAATATTTCTTCAAATGAAATGAATATTAAATTGCAACTCATGTTTTTTTAATTTCACCAAAAACCTATTTACTTTTTCGTCCATTCAACCGGTTCTTCAGATCGTTCAAAAGCTGCATTTTCAGCTGGTAAACCAAATGCATCCCAGCCCATACAATGAATAACCTATTTGATATTTATCATGCAAAACACATTGACTCCGATTAATCAAAAAATAAGCTTACCCGATGACCACGCAGTCGATAATAACGTGCCAGTGTATCACTCAATGTATACACTCGAACATGTCCCATGTGCAAACGACCGGATGGATAAGGAAACATTGGTAAAACATACATCTTTTGTTTGTTCTTATTCTCCTTGAAAGCATAGAATCTCCATTAGAAGAAAATCTAATGTGGAAACGATTATCTCACTGGATCTGTTTCGTATTTTTCATGTTCATCTAATAGCTTAGGTATCCAGTGCCGTTCGATTTCTTTGGTACGCTCTATTGCTGAAGTTTTCGGCTAAAAAAGAAATTCGACTCTGAAAGAATCTTGAACTTCACTATCGACAATTTTATTCAAGTGATATGTACCCATTTGCCAGTGAGACTGTACAGCGTCCGCCGAATTTGTAAATATCGCATGATTTCTCTTTGGAAAATCTACAAAATGACCTGTTGTTCAATTAAACTTTAGATCCCATATCATCACTGTGTATATTCTGAAATGAAATCCCATATGAGATTCACCGAGTTGATAAGAAAGGAGAAAGTATACAATACACCGACTTAAATAAAAAGATCAAAAAAAAAAGAAACAGAAGAGTTCATTTGCGGGAAAAAAAGAGAATAACAGGAGAGATTCATTCGATTGCCTCGCGTTGATTAGTTGACAAGGTTTTAAAACGTTGGCACAAGAAATTTTGTTTATCTTCATGATCATAACCAAATTGTTGATAGAAAGTCACTAGATGATCTTTGCATTCCAAGGAGATTTTATAACAATCACACACATCGCGTGCAAATTGTGTTAACAGATCGACCATCAATTTTCCAAGTTGTTGTCCACGGCAGCGATCGTGTACAACCACATCTTCCACGCGACCACGCACACCTAGTTGTCGAATGAATTTCTTTTCGCAAACAAGTGTTGCGGTACCAACGATCTGCTGATCGGAATTAACATCTTCGACAACGAGGACGTAGTATGTGTTCGGACATTGTTTCATTTGTTGAAAACGTTTCAAATAATCATTGTAAGTGATTGTACCACATTCAGTTAATTGCCGAAGCAAATCAACGAAGCCATGATGGAAATCAGAGAGAGCTAATGGTCGAAGAAGATACTTTTTGTCGTAAATATTATCGACAAGTTTAGGATCTTTTAATGAATATTCTTTGAAAACAGATTGGAGCTGATTCTTGTTGAATAAATATTCATCTTTATGATCGCCATTTGACTTCGAATGAAGACCATTTTGCTCAGTCATGATAATTTTGAGTCACAGAAAAAATTCGGAATAAATAAATTAAGATGAGTGAGAATGAATGGTAATGGTAAAAACATACGAGAAGTAATGACTGCTGGTTGATGGACAAATAGTGTCGTCGACGGTAGATGGCAGGAAACATTGAATTCATTCATATAAAATGAGAAAAGGAACGAAAGAATAGAATATTCGATAAAATCAAAGGAATATATTTTATTCAAAACTTCAACAGATGATATTTTATACAAAGGTAGAAAGAAAAGAGTCGTTTGTCAGCGCAGTGATTTTATAGATCACCATCTCGTAAAAACTTGTTTCCTTGGCTGCCTTCTCCATTATAAGTATGCCGAACTTTTCCAAACGATGTTCGAGCTTGGCTTTGGTTTGCCGCTGATGGTAATGGTGAGTAAAGGCCCCTTTTCGACGACTTTTGATCGTCATCATCAGCATTTGACTGTGACTGTTTCGTCTCAGCTATCGAATATAATATATCGCCTAACTGTGTGGCGATTCGCCGCTCATTTGCATTGATGTCACGTGCATCGAGAAACTTCAATGTTGGGATACGAAATATCAACAAATGTCGATACCGTTGGTATTCTTCTTCTAAACGATCTTGCGCAAATGAATTAAGATCAGCACCATTTGAAGACACGGAACTGATACGGTACGGACAAGCCTCATTTCCTAATAAGGATAGATAGATCAACGTTGGATATGCTTGACGTAATTGATCAACTAGTTTGTAAATATCTTGGAAACGATTTTTATTCAATGTCAACGTTTGCAGGTTTGGTAATTTAGGAAATCGTGTGTGGACATCATCGAGTTGATTGTCGTCGAGAATAAGTTCTTCGAGGTTTGGAAAGTTCTTTACGCAACCGAGCGATCGAAAATGATTTTTGCTTAAATCAAGAATCTAAACGAGAAGATCACGACAATGTGAAATCAAAAGCAAATTTTCTTTTACTTTGGCTCTACTCGCATATGCATCAATTATACTTTGAGGAATATCGTCAAAAGTTGAACCAACACAAGTAAGTCGTTCCGAATCTTCGTCATATATAAACTGATTCTCTTCATCGGTAGGATTTATAGTAGAATCGGATGATAGGTTTTCAGTCTGAGGTTCAGCAGAGTCTATTGAATCGGTTCCTTCTCGTTCGTCACTCATAATGTCGTTGTTAACACTACCTGAGTATGCTGATATGTAGTCAGATGATATTGTTAATGCTTCGAAATGATGATGAAGTAAGAAGTAACATGAAAGAGAATGCATAAACAATGATAAGGTATCACAGTAGAAAAACGAAAACCGAATTTCGTTTTGTTTTATTTCGACATATATATATCAGCGACGTGAAAATTTAAAAAAATCGCATGAGAAGAGTTTTTGAGTAAAATGATTATATCAGTAAATAAAAGTCCATATCAAACCGGTTGACTTCGAAATGAAAAGTATAATTTATCAAAAGATGCTCAGTTATGTCCATGGACAAACTATATGTAACTAGATCGAGATAAGTACTTTGTTCGTTGCAGTTAGCAGAGTTTGTTGTTTATGTTTTCATGAGTACTCTTACTCTTCAGGTGAGTAACCGATAACAGAACGTTCGAACTGACGAACGACTTATGAAAGATCCTCTTCGACTGAATGAAAAGTATATTGGAAGAAGTCAAGTTTATTTTTATTAAGTCATTGTCAAGTTTTGTTTTACAACAGTGTTGATTCGATATAATCAGCTTCAGTACCTCGACATTTACACTGTCGACATATGTACGGCCGTTCGTTGACTAAAATATGGATTCGTGTTTACTCGACTCATTCGAATCGACATGAACTTACTCAAACCATTTTCACATCGTTGTTTCTCCTTCCAGTATTGCTCAGCTATTCTTTGTTGATATTTTCGATTGCGTTTTACATCGAGACTTTCATCTATAATCACAGATTCATTTCGTTTCTTTTCATCACGTTCGATTTCTATCGAGAAAAAAAAGCAACGAATTGAAATAACATACAGAAACTATTTACTTTTACGGCAATAATAACTTATTGGCCAAAGCAATAAATTAAATGGTGGTACGAAGAAGTCCTTCTCTTCGTATTCTCTTAAAACCACATAAAAGTGATAACACCATGCACGATGTGATTCCCCATGAACACGTTGGATTGTAAAACTAAACGATACAATAGGTTTATCATCTGCTGCTCCAATCACACTTTCACATACTTGAACAAAGCAATAAGATTGTTCAAAAGAAGCACATAGGCAATAATTAAAAACGTTATAGTTAATATTAATGTTACAAAGCCATACGCATCATTTTTTGCTAGAACATAGAATGATATACTGAATGATAAGAGCAATTTTTTTTTGTTCAAACCTGAGTATTTGATTTCAACGAGATCGCTTGTACTTAAACTCGTACTTCCGAATATTTTCCATGTACCCCATTCAATAATATTACGAAGAATATCAAAATTAGTCTGATTTCCTCCGTCTTGTATAGTTGTAAAGTGTGTTGCATTCGACCAGATGACGAATGAAGACGTCGATATCAATGAATACGTGGTTATTGCATATGCACACAGAAAAATCAGAATAAAAAACAAAAATGACATTAAATCTTTCATCTAAATTTAAAGTGTCCACATTCATCTTTTTCGAATTACAAACAGCTAATCGTTCGTACCGTATGAAATATCATCAGCAATTTCGGTCCTAGTCTTTCCGAAGCAAGAAACACATGTAAACATCGCATATACCATAAACATAAATCAACACTCATACAAATCCTAGAAGACAAATCAATGATCATCGTTCTGTGTAAAACCAGTCGAATTCATTGGCATACTTTGAGAGTTCAAAAGCATGATCTCGAACGATAAAACGCGTAATAAAACCTATGAACCATAATGTAAACGCAACGAAATCTAAGACATTCCATGGATCATTGCGATAGAAAGACCAAATCGTGTTCCGATGCCGATTTATTCCCGCCAGTTTTTTCCAGTAAGGAGCTTTAACTAATACAGATTTGACATGCAGATAAACCTCAACAGACATGAATGGATCTATATATGCAGAAATACACCAATTCTTACTTGCCGAATTTCTTCCAACGCAATCGATGCAAGAAATACATGTAAGATGATCTCAGTTATCGGAATAGGTAATCCAGGAATACCCGAACGTTTTTCTTTGTAAATGTTTAACGGGAAATAATCAAATAGAATTGTATAGCTGAATAATATCAAAAATGCTGTATACGATGCCTAAAAATCATTTAAAATTAGTCAACCTTGTTTCAATACGAACAAATACGTACCATGTTATAATGAAATCGAATAACTGCATTTCCTTGATAAAACCGGTAAAACTGTTCGCATGGACTTGCTATTCGTCGCTGAAAATCAGTGCCATTCTGTTCACTTATTTTAGTTTCTCGAAATACTCGCCGACATACAACAGGAAGAAACAGTAGGAATGGACATAAGCATACCAAACAGATCTTCAAATTAGAAACACATTACATTACGTAACGGCATCTTTTCAGATTACCAGTATTTCCCAGGTAAAGTTCTTGTTCTGATGAAATTCGTTTCCATACCAAATTCTGTTCATGTAAAATTGCATACAGTCGGACGATACTAATGTTTTAGAGCAGAGATCATCAATAAGAGCTGCTGCTTGTTGGTCGGGATATAGAATCGATTTTTCATTTAAAAATTTCATTGTTTTCTCTTCATTATCAGCAAAGTAAAGGTCGAGAATATCTGCAGCATACATTTCAAATTGTCTTCGATGAAAACATTCGAAATCAGTAAAGATTAGTGACAAGAAAAATGAAATCGTAATTACCGTTGATGTGTTCGATAGGTTTCTGACGTTGTATAATCGTTTTGTATTTTCAATTGACACCATTGACTAACAAGTAGCATGGCAATTGTGGAATCCTCGGAACAAACGAGAAATGAAGATAATTTTTTACTTGCAAGTTAACTTCCTATACTTCTAATCGTGTACAGATGCTCATTGTCAATTCAAAATATTGGTTCTCTATAGCCCAATAGAACAATCGGCGAAGGTATGCTAAATGTTAACAATTTAAAAAGAAGGAGGATTATTATAGTAGTCACCTTTCACTCGT